GAATAATGGAGAAATAAAAATTCACCATTTATTATGTGTAGAAACTCAAATACAAGACACTGTTAGTAATAACATTTTTATCAAAATTGCAGCTATAAATAACAGAATATACAGTATTAAAAACATAAAGTTTATGCTCTTTGTCATTTTCATTTATATCAAAGTACAATTCAAAGCCTAAAACACTGGATACACAAAATACTTACTTGTTCTGGATTGAAGTTTGGCCACAAATAATTCTCCAGATATTGACTGAACTCAAGCAACATAACTCTTCGTATAGCAAACCTTAAAATGAAGAAAACACAGAACGATGGTGATACAATGTTAGAAAAATTTCACTATTAATGACTGAATCCAAAAAAGACATTTAACACTTACTTGGAACCAAGCAACTCTTTTTTATATATGTCTTCAATAACCTACAGAAATCAAGACATTGACAATCAGAATACACAACAGCTAATTTAATATGAATACAAAAATGAAAAAAAAAAAAGTCTTCAAAAAAATCCAGCAAATTTGAACAAACAACCAAAAGTAAATTACACACACAGAAGCCGACTAGCTTACCTTAGGGTCATATGACTTTCTTGGTAAAGTACTGTGAGGTGCCCAATAGAGGCTTGCAAGCTGTAAACAAGTTATACAGTTACATATCTAAAAAGGCTTATGAGCTGACAAAAAAAATCATCAATGTCAAGCAACAATTGTGAAAACCATGATCTACCTTGATGATAAAGACCAGATTCATGTGTCTTTGTCACCTACCTGAGTCAGCACATCAGCATTTATTTGCTCCACTGTAGGAGCAGCACCATGCTTCTTACTACCACTCATTTTGGTGACACGGGTCGGCTGTTTCTATTCTATAACGCAAAAATAGAAATAAAAATATGTATTATTGCAATATCTCTCAGATAAAAAATAAATAAAAATATTGAATAGTTTTTTGTAGCTGAAGGCTGCTAGCAAACCAAGCTTTACTTGCAAATGTGTGTATAATCGAGGATAACAAAAGAACATAGAAGAAATATAAATACCCAAGTGTAAGATAATAGTGAGCTATTTTTGTGTGTGGAATATATAAAGTGAGAAATGTCATTCATGGAAAACAGTCCTCTGGCTACGTATCACTTTCCATTACACATGCTTCAAATTTCTATCCTGTTCTCTTCATTTCTATAAATATTTAAAAATTTCACAAGTCAAACTGGACATAGAGGTTTCTATTGGCTGATGGAGTATGATTAAAACATTTTCAAATAATGCCATTAGGTACTGTGTTTATTAGCTGGTTGAATTCAACTAAAATTGAAATTTATAAATATTTATAAAAAATAAGAAAATGGATTTATTGTGTTGATAGTATAAGTCTTATATTTTTAATGTTTTGTATTCTTATAAAGATTATAAAATACAAAATTCTCCTTGCCTGTCAGCTATTGCCTGCATTGCACATTATATGTATGCACCGTACTTCCCCTAGAATAAGCTCCTCCCCGAGCATAAGCCCACCCCTTTGTTTTTAGACATTTAACAAGTTGAGGGCATCCCCGAGTATAGGCCCATGGTGTTTTTATCGGGCATCGACGACATTTATTAAAATATGCATGTAAAAAGTGTTTTCATTGCATAATAATCGTGAGTGGTACGGTAGTTTGGTTCCTGCTTTTACGAGAAAACTCGCATTAATTTCAGGACGGTGAACAACAGAACATGATTCGCACATTTTCTATTCTGTTATTTACTCAGGATGAACCCTGATGTTGCAATACTGAAATAATTCATATTTATTTTGAGTAGTAGTTTTAGAAACGCCAAAAATGTGATCGTCAAGTCGTGAAACCTGGTCATTGAACATCGTTTTACTTTTCTGAATAATTGTGTCCATTGAGACTTTCGTGAATGGGATGTGATCGAGCAAACTATTCTTTGACATGAATGGCGACTGTGAAGGGTTTAAATACTTCCTCCACCCTCAGTTTACCTTTCGAAAATTGTGAATCAACAGCTTTAGGGAAAGAAATCACCGTTTTTTGTCAAAATCAGATCACATTTTAACATCGCGATAATTCACTTCTGCATCGCCTTGAAAAAATTACTTCTCAATAATCGGAAAACTTCGTCTGTACGACACAGCATTAAGATTGGTTAACAAAAGATGTGACCTGTCAGGTCAAAGGAAGTTGTTCAGGTCAAGTCATGATGCAAAACACCATGGCGGAAATTGCTTTGTATCGGGAGTTTGCGTATGATCGAAAACATTCCACAACGAAGATAATGATAAAGATCTTGCCTTTGACTGTTTTTTTACAGACCTTACCCATTTTTGCACCGTAAATTCAGACGGTATGTAAATCGTATTGTAATAAAATGTGTGTATTTTTATGAACATGTTTGTTTCTTCATTGTAAAAAGTGTCGTGGAAATCAAAAAGACCTAATATTTCTCTGAGACCAGCGCTGTGAACGAAAAATGTAATTTACCCCCCCCCCCCAAATTTATCTTTTCTGAGGTGGTCCTCGAGTATAAGCCCACCTCCTAATTTTCCCAATTTTACATTTACAGGCCCCTTTACAAATAAATAAATTAAATATAGTTTCCTCTTTCTCCCCTACCGGTACTACCTTCCATGTTTACACATACCGGTACTAACTAATTTGCTGAAAACCTTGGTTCTGACACTCAAAGCAGATAACATACAAGACATGCTGGACAAGTGGTCAGATCTATTCTCAAGCTGATTACAAATCTAATGTAGGTAGAAGCTCCAGTTTCTTTTTATATCAGAACAGTGACAAATCACAGACACACGTCAAACTACATTAACCCATATTCATATATGGCAAGATTGTAATCAGTTTTGATCAAACCAAATTGCAACAAAGGATAAAATGGAGCAGCCATATTTTGTTTTGCAGTCATTGTTTAGAAGTTACACCAAAAGGACTGTGATGTGCATGCTTTTTGTTTTGTTTTTGTATTATTTTTTTTTATTTATTTTTTCATTATTTTATGTTCCCTTGGGCCCCTCACCTATAACTCTAATCCCAACCTTGCATCTCCCCTATTTTAATTGTGCATGCTCCTCTTGGGGACATGTATAGATATCCAGAGGGTTGGAGGGGCATCTGCAATTACATTTGGGCGGATCTAGAGTGTTAGGATAAGGGTTTGGGTTAGGGAAGAGAAGAAACTCTTAACAATTTCATAATTCAGGTTCCAAAAACTCATTTTCAAAAACGATTATGAACTTTGCAATTGATCAGAAAAAAAATATATTGTCTGAGTTGAAGCATTGTAAACTGTAACTGCATATTCGGGAGTAGTTAGCCAGAATTGGTGAGGCATCATTTGACAGCTAGCAATGAACAAAGTGTTGGCCATCTACTTCGTCAGAAGCAAAGTTGATGGCGAGCTTGCTCACAAGTTTGCTAACTAGATGCCGGAATACTTCTGAAACCTGCAAATAACACTGACCAACCAGTTTGTACATTGTAGATCCGTAAACCAAAACAACAACATCCAGACATAATGCATAGTCAGTTCTGATCGGATCATATCGGAGTTGAACATTTTTAAATTCTCCGTTAAATCCATCAGATCAGTGTCTAAGATCAATAGCCGCCGAAACATTATTAAACAGTTCTTACCACAGTCTTCGTCAGTTTGTAACGGTGTCAAATTTGCAATAGACAACAAAACATCAAACACATGTGTGCGCCGCCATTTGTACTCAAAATTAACTCAAGCTAGGGTGTCGAGACGCAGGACCAACGTCGAGCGAGGACCTCTAACACCATGGAAATAACCAATAGACATTATTATTGTGGTCGATCGAATGCCAGTATCACAGTAATTTTATAAATTTGAATTAAGTTTTATTTCAATAAAGAATTTATTGATTAATCCTAATGTATGTAATACTCTGACCAAAGACAAAACATAGTCAACTTACACGATACAAGAACGACTACCTAATAAGTCAAACGCCCTCAGTGGCAAATGTGGATGGACTTTGCGTTGAATTGTTTTTATCATGAACAGTCATTAACCTGTCACGGTAACCGTCGTGTATTAGTATTTTGACCAGGATTTGACATGATATACAACTTACGTGTAAATTTTGATTTAATTCGGTTTTAGAATGGCGGAATTAAAATTGGTTTATTAAATTAATTAATTAATTAACTCCATTCAGTCATCCTTCAATGATTTACCCTAACCGAGATCTTGTCCCGGGTGCACAAAACAAATCAGATTACAATCGTTTTTTTCCAGCCTTTCTTCGTTACTCAATATGAACCAATGAATCCAAAATTGCCTTCGGCGTGTGCACAATACCGTCGCCATAGTTTGCGATGTCACAGTCAATCGTAATGCCGGGTTTGTGAAAGAAAACTGACTTTATTGACATTTGGGGTCATTCATACATATAATTCAAATTTCATATTTCACAAGTTACTCTCATCACTAACGCAACGATGTACGTTTGTGAGATCATATTATAACAGGAGGACGCGCTCGTTGTCTCAGACGACATATTCTAGTAATCGTCCCCTTATTCAAAATGAAGCTCTTGCTGATTGGCTGATGTTTACCTAACTCATTGTTATTTATCAAAATATATCACAACACCATTTCTGAATTAGTCCTTTTAAATAATATTGTTATAACGACCCAAGCTGTCTGTCCATCACTGTATGAGTGAGCTTTTATGTGAACATTTGAACATAGGATGTATGGTAGGCGTGTCCCTTTCATTTATGATTGATTCAGGTAGATAGTGACAATAGACTTTTAAACTCCATGTCACTATGCGATATGAGGTAAGAATAAAGATTTTTCTAAAATTTAACAAAAGTAAATACAAAGAAATTGAACATCGCTGTGTTGTTACTTTCAATAAATGCTTCCTTTCACTGCGACAGTATTTTGTAAAAAGTGCGTTGAACATAGTCGTGATAATTTACTTTACTGTGTATTGCATCGTTTTGTTTCACATTTACAACAATATACGACACAAGTAAAGTGAAGTAAATAATAACACAGCGTAGTTCACTTTACGCTCATTACTTCGATGTATTAGTACGCCAAGAATTCAACTGAGTTGGGTATTTGTATGACATTTCTAAAGCGCGCCCTCTGGTGTAAAAAAAATATATCAATCCTCGTTTGCCAAGTGTTATTTTTCACTTTATTTTCAACTGTAAAGAAATACTACAAAAAAAAAATTACTGAGACAAACTGCGAATTTAGGGGGAGGCGCGCAAGACGCCCCCTTTCAGCTCGCAAAAAAAATTGACAAATCCAGTCCACGTCAAAAGGAGCGCCCCCTTACCAAATTTCTGGATCCGCCAGTGAATGCGGTTCTTTTCTCACGTGATACGTATTTAATAAGCACGTGTATGTATTCTCCAAATGGTAGAGAATACTGAAGTATAGTAATCGGATTTCAAGTTAATATGTATGCCCACATGTATAAGCATGTACACGAGTTTATTGCATTACACAACACTGTGTAAGTAATGCAATTACATCATCCAAACATTGTTTAACAACTTATAACTACACTGTAACCTCAATATAATGAACACCTTTATAATGAATTTCCTGATATAATGAACACATAGCAGGTCTCCCGCTCACAACAAACCCAATGTATTATGTGCTTCATTATAGTGAACATTTCACTATAACAAACTAATTGCATGTCCCCCAAAGAGTTCGTTATAACGAGGCTACAGTGTATTCTAAACCTGGTATCTGACAGTTATACTTGACAAATAATTGAGGTTGAAAAAGAATCTCGACTTAAGTTCCCCAGGTGAGATCGT